ACGACTGATAGTCTAATGGTTAAAACAATTGGTGGCCAAGGCTGAAACTTTACTTATCTCATTGTCAATTCATTGCGGGTCTTGCGGCAAACAATAAGCTGTTTATAAGTTGTTTAATGGCTAAAGGGTCAAATAGGCTCTCGAACTAACTTAAAAATGTGCAAATCACCCTTATATAGGAGGCTCTGTCCGGCCGCCGCCATTTGGGGCGGTTCCCGGTGGAAATTTTTGATGATATTTTTTGAGCATCTTCTTTATTAAGTTTACTTTACTCATACTAAATTTCAGATAAAAGTTCAATCGAGAAGGCAGTCAAATGAATTTTTGAAGATAACAGCGCACTTAAACAGCGCACTTAAACAGCGCAGTACAATTCAGAAAATCATTTGACTATCTTCCCGATTGAATATTTATCTGAAATTTGGTATGAGTAAACTACACTTAATAAAGAAGATGCTCATAAAATTTCATCAAAACATTTCACCGCGAACCGTTCCAAATGACCCTTTAGCATTGTTTAATTAATGAGGCTATGTGAATGTTTGCCACAACTAGCTGAAAATATATTTTTATGAACTTTTTAGTAACTTTTAGTGAGTGAAAAGATCTTACAAGAAAAAAGGTAGTAGTTTTTTGTTAAAAAAAATGACTGTTTGATTTAGTTCGATTTGGTATACAAGCTGTTGAGACTAATTAATATTAGAAGCTACAGACTTATCTAACATGCTACTCATTGTAGCATCTAAAAAAAGATCTTTATTTTTATAAAAGCTTTTAAATATTTGTCAAATAGTAGAAAAGAAAAAATGTGTCAAGCGTCTTTGTATCGCACTGATAAACTGAAAAATTAAAGGGAAAATGGAAACTAATAATCCAATCTTTTAGCGGTCTTCTTACAATAATCCAACCTTTTGGTTATTCGTGAATAATCCAACCTTTGCACCTCATCTTCATTCACTGGTCTCTGACCGGTTGATGACCTGTTATTCCAAGCTATTTTCTTATCTTTTCAAATCATTATACTATAAATCTCATCTTTCACAAAGATAATATTTTGCAAAGATAAGAAAATAACTTGGAATAGTAGGTCATTAACCGACCAGGGACCAATAAATGAAGATGAGGTGCAAAGGTTGGATTATTCATGAATAATCAAAAGGTGGGATTATTGAAAGAAGACCGCTAAAAGGTTGGATTATTAGTTTCCATTTTCCCAAAATTAAACTAACGAAACGGTCACCATGTGTAGCAAATCAAAGACAATTGGGATAATGGTTATAAGTTTGGTCATGGAATATGTGATGCGTCAATTCTTTGTTGTAAAGTACGAGCTGAGTAGTTGTTTGTGTGCTAGTTAGGAGATCAGCTCTAAACTAAGCTTTTCCAGCCACAACTCCTATCACTTTATATAGGGCATGTTTGACACAACTAGCTGAAAAGATACTTTTACGGACTTTTTAATAACTGTTAGCTTTTAGTGACTGAAAAGATCTTAAAAACAAAAGGTGGTAGCTGTTTGGTAAGAAGCTGACTGTTTGATTTAGTTCGATTTGATATACAAGCTGTTAAGGCTAATTAATACTAAAAGTCACGGGCTTTTTCTAGATGCTACTGCCTGTAGCATCTCAAAAAAGATCTTTTAATTTTTCAAAAGCTCTTAAATATTGTCATGCCAAACATATAAATAGAAGCTTTTAGAGACTTTTTGAACAATACAAAAGCTAGAAGTAAGAGACTTATGCCCGCCCAACATAGCCTATAAGCTTCTTTCCAAATGAATTAAAAAATTCAATTTCCAGCCACAACTCCTATCACTTTATATAAGCTTCTTGAGTTCTTTCCAACTCTATAAATGAGGATGCTTTCACACATTTAAGAGTCGCTTTCCTGTCACCCAAAGCTTACTTCAAAGCTCAAACTTTCTCACACCTTCGCACCTTGTGTTTATCTTTCTCCTATATAGTTGTGATCTTATAAATATAGAAGTTTATAAAGCTTTTCTACATCAAGTACGGAGTATTAGATCATCATAGCACAATAAAAAGAGTTGTGTAATATACTTGAGAAACATTTTTTGAAAGTTTTTAGTTATAGCTTGAATATCTATTATTTAAATTTTATTCTTGAAAGTAATAAAAGTATTTTTCTCTTATTTTAGCTCGATTCTTTAATTCCTTAACACAAATTAATGTGACACAAATCTAATTTAATTATAATGTATTTACATTATTACAACAACTAACAGGAGTATACATAATGAATTGAAACTCATTTACACACTTCAGATAATTTAGATGATTTACACAATAACGCAATCAACTACCACATTTACAGTATACACCATATTAGGTGTTACTGACATAATTAATATACACTAATTACTATACACTGCAAAAAGAAGCATAAATACATATATGTTGTTGATGTGTGTTGATTATAAACGTAAAATTACATTGCCATACCGTGTGAAAAATTCTAAAAATATATTGTACTCACTAAAAATCCCAAACAAAACTTCTAAATAAAAAGGCATGCGATAACACTAAATTATTAGGAAGATTGTGTTGGAATTACAAAATAAAATTGTTATGTTTTCTTCCCGATATAGGAGTCACTACTGTCATTTAATGTAATTTTAATGCCTAGTACTGCAACTATCTGACAATATTGACTACAAGATGGCAATATATACTGCATGTTACTCCGATTTCGAAGAAACACATAATAGGCCTAATTTGAAAATACAAAACCTATTATTTACTCCTATTTTGGGAACTTTCCCAATTATAAATAATTAAGTTTAATTTGAGGGCATTATTATTTCAAGTATTTTGTTTAATAGGGATAAATATCTACCTGCTAGCTTATGTACGATTTAAAATGTATTTAAAATGTTCTAGTTGAAAAGTTACGCTGAGTAGCATATGAGAAAAATCTGCAGCTTCTATAATTAATTGGTCACAACAACTTGTATACCAAACAAAACTCGATCAAAGATTTAGCTTATTATCAAATAGCCGTCACCGTTTTCTTTTTAATATCTTTTCAGTCACTAAAAGCTAACAATTATTAAAAAATTCACATAGAGTAATTAGATTTGGGACAAGTTGGTAGTTTTTTTTTAAGAAATCAGCTTATATTATTATATCATAATCCAAACAGGTCACAATAAGATCAGATCCCCTACTCAGTTAATAGAAATAGATTATTTGAATACTTTGCTTATAAATTACTTTCTCCAAACGTCAAAATGATTAAAATATAATCTACTAGCTTTTCAACCATGAGTTGTAAGTTTTGAGCTATTACTTTGCACACTTTTTCTTGTTGGCTGGTCCTATACTCCTATATCATATACGGTCATATTTATGTTGCTTCACAATCATATATTACCTCCGTTCCACTCAACTTTGCCAAGTTGATGTTAGATGTGAAATTAGAATAGTAAAAACTGTGTGGTTGAGGTTTGTGCAAGCGAGAGAGAAATAAATAGAACCACAAATTCATTGCTTTTAGGAGAAAGTGACAAAGTTTTTTGGGACAAACAAAAAGGGAAAGTTGACAAGTCCAGTAGGACGGAGGGAGTATATAGTATACTACAATACCATATGATACACCCAATTAGACCTCTAAATTGATATGAAAGTTTCCTTGCTCCATACTGAATGAAACGGAGGAAATAATTAGCAATGGATACCTACAGATCGACTTATAATGATCAATTAGCTTATGAGTTTGTTTTGCAAAAGATAGCCTAACTTGGTTTTTTTTATCAAACTATCTCAGTCAACTGAGGTAATTTATGTAATCCCAACATTTACATTTACACGGGAATTTTACTTTAATCCTTTGCATGTAGGGACGGATCCAGGATTCTGAGTCAAGGGGGGCGAAATTTTTCGTTAGTGTAGGGGGTGATTTTTTTTTTTGTTAGTGTAGCGGGGTGCAATTTTTTTCCCTAGTATAGCGGGGCGAAATTTTTTCGCTACTGTAGGGCTATGCGGCTATTTTTATTCAAAAAATGACATTAATACATGCACATCCCGAACGACATTTAAATCTATTACATTCTAAGTTTAGACGATGACAAAGACATCAACCAATACATTTTCAATAACTTCTATATTGTTTAACCTCATGAATCGGTTATTGAATTGTAATTTTTGTCCACCAAGAAGAGTGTTCGTGAGTCATGACTCATGAGAAGTTTTCTTAATATTACAATAGTAGTATACTAGTATGTATGAGATTGTTATTTTTAGAATAATATGCACCACATACACACACACATATATGGTGCATATTATATTTTAATATTTTTATTAATTCTATAATAATTTAGAGTTTATTATCCATTCAATAAATTATTTTTAGAAAGCAAGAAGTAAATGAATTATGTAATCTAATGTCTATAAATATTTATATTTTGGATTCATTTCACGTGATCTAAAAATTGTGTAATTAGTGTGTTTGGTATTTAATATTGTTTGATATATGTTTTACGAAATCCAGTACTTGTTATCTAATAAAGATAATTAAACATTACAAAACTAGGAATTCTTATATAATAAGTATCCTAAATCTTAAATAACGAGTTACTCTATTGTTTATTTGTTTAAATTATGTAAATTATTTTAGATGTTTCTTCTTTTAAATCTCCAATTAAGTATTACATTATGTAAGACTATATATATTAATTTTGAAAATTAAAAGCTAAGGGGGGCGAATCTAATTAAATTATGAAAGTTTTATGAAAATATTACATATATGGTAAAAAAAATTGAATGTCCAAGGGGGCGGTCGCCCCCCCCCCCCCCCCCCCCCCCGCCCCCCCCCTAAATCCATCCCTGTTTGCATGTGCAATTTCAAATACCTACAGTGTGAGACCGTATTAAAAAAACAACTTAAGTGCTGAGCTATGGCACACCCCATTTATGTCCGTTAATCCTCTTTGGTAAAAACTATTACGAGCATACCAGGCAATTGTTAAAAGTTAGTAGAAATAAGAGACTTTTTATGCATTTGATTTTGTTGTAATGAATACATTATTCTTACTCTTTGAGCTTACTGAAACCCGCAGCACGCAGTTCATATTTTGTTGCGTCATAATGCATTTCAATTTCCCATTCACTGTATATTGCAAAACATGATAAAATATGAATTTTGCGATAGCATTCACAAATTACAGTGGATGGAGTTGGTGAGATCAATGACAAAACGGTACTTGACATCAGACTTAGCGAGTCGTTCCATGGCGGTGTTGATGTAGTCCATTCGGATCACCTCAACGTCTGCAGTTATGTTGTGCTCTGCACAAAAATCCAACATTTCCTGTGTCTCTTTTATGCCTCCGAAGTCACTCCCCCCTATAAGTTTCCTACCTATATGATGCAGGAAGTTAAAACACTATCTTGTACCTTCTCAGGTGTGTCAAGTGTCAAGTAACTCAGTCTTACCTGCCACTAAAGGGAATACTGGCAATTCAAGAGGTTTTTCAGGCAAGCCAACTGTCACAAGTTTACCGTCCAATTTCAGCAAATTGAGCAGCGGGGCTAAGGGGTGAACCGCAGCAATAGTATCAATAATAAAATCCATTGTATCTGCAGCAGCCTGAAAGAACAAGCACATTACTGCAACAAAGTGGTTTATGATAATTGAGTTGGTAGTAGTTATATCCATCATTGTGCTTAGACTAATGATAAATCCATTATTCCTCTTAGACTAAGGCTTTTTCATTTTAGCTTTGGCTGCCGCGTATTAAAAAGCCATACATACAATTTTCATTAAACCGCATCTGGTGTCTTAGATGCACCGTTTTTTTTCTTTTTACTCTAGGGGGAGTCGGGGGAGGGGGTTTGGGGGGCCTGGGGTAAACTGGGATCAATCTCTCACTCCATTGAGAATTGAACCCGAGACCTCCCATAAGGGAGAGTGAGTGGGTCTTACATGCACCGTTGCAGTGAAAACTTTTTAATTGCAATTTGCTATCTCCAATGAGGTCAGTTTCATTTGTTTTATTTAATTACTATTAATTCATTTTTACTCAACATTTTTTGTTAATTTTATAAACAGATGTATCATTATTTCAAAAAAATACTTATTCACCCAAAGCAGTTTCTAATAGTCCAACCACACCATCAGAGCTATTTGATGGGGAAATTAATTCAAATACCCTAAACTATGGAATATATATTGAGGAGTAATAATGAGTATTATGTTACAAGTAATCTCAACACCATAACAGTAGATTTTTTCTTTCACAAATGTAAGTTTTTAGGGTCCTAAATGTGCAACTTTAATACTCTGAAGATTTTGGAGGTGAGCGAGTAGCAGATTAAACTTGCATTTGTGAATTAATTATCTACTTTAGGGTAATTGAATTACATTTCCCTCGCTTAATAAAAAAAACCAATCACCTCTATTGCATCTCATATCACAACCATGTTGTCAGTTTTCACAACAGAGCTCAGCTCAAATCTAGAACAAACGGGCCCCAAGACCACACATGCCAGGATGTATGACCCCAGTATAGAGCCTAGTGCTTTTTAATACATTGGTTATAAATATTCGTATGAAGAGTAAAGAGTGTTTACATTATTAACCTGATGATTATTATGTACGTAGTACTAATTACCTGTAATTGGGCAGAGTCAGTACTGACAAGGAAGGAATCAGCTCCAAGCTTGTTAATAGCCTCATCTTCCTTCTTTGGGGATGTACTGATGACAGTCACTTTCAACCCAAACGCCTTTCCCAATTTCACTGCAATATGACCAAGCCCACCAAGTCCAGCCACACCAAGATGCTTCCCTGGCTCTACCATCATCCCGTAGTATTTCATTGGGCTATAAACGGTGATCCCGGCACATAACAAAGGGGCACCAGCATGAGAAGGCAGCTTATCTGGGAAGCGAAGCACAAAGTGTTGATGAACAACAATCTTGTCGGAATAACCACCGTACGTGTTGCCGCCATCTTGATCCTTGGAGTTGTAGGTGAATACCTTTTTGGGGCAGTAACTCTCCAAATCTTTGTCACATATGTGGCATGTCAGGCAGGAACCCACTATCACACCAACCCCAACCCGGTCACCACCTTTGAACTTTTGAACATTACTTCCTGTCTGGGTAACAATCCCTACAATTTCATGCCTGTGCCCACAAATTTTGTACAATTAAGGATGCAGTCATGCTTACATTTTTCTTAGTGTCAACTTGAAATGAGGAACAGTTCACTGGTTTATACGGAGTATTTTTTATTTCAATAATTAGGTGATGTGGGAACTCTTCAGAATTCGCCAAATTCGTAATATTACCCCCGAGAGGTAAGGATGAGGCAAGTGATTGGTTAAACATCGAAATGTACTTCATCCAAGTACAGACATACAACAACATTTCTTGTCCTAAAATCAGATAAGCCTTTCATATTTTCCACACCACTTCAAATGTATAAACACTACAGTAATAGAAAACCTTTATCTCTATGTGAGTATACTACGTATTATGTATTAAACTTTCATATTTTCCCTAACAGTTTATGAATGACAGAGTAGGAAAGATTAATAATAATAAAAATTGTGAAAGGATTTTCATGTTTTATCAAGATGAAATATTTTAGGTCATAGAATCAATGGTGTTGAAAACTAAAATTAGCAGCAGATTATTTACTCATTCACTGCAAGTAAGCTAAAAACGGTCAATCTAGTGATCTAAAAAAAAGAAAAGAGAGAATTCCCTAAATAGGAGTAAAAGCGTTTTGAAATTCCAAAATAGGAGTATCATGTTTTTTATTCCTTGAATAGGAGTAATCTGCCAAGTTTGGAAGAAAATGCCATGTTTAAAAGCCTTGTAATGCCAAACTTGGCAAAAATTTACTCCTATTCAAGGAATAAAAAACATGATACTCCTATTTTGGAATTTCAAAACGTTTTTACTCCTTATTAGGTCAATTTCTGAAAAGAAAATAATAAACCTCCATCCCCCATAGGCAGGTTATAAAATCTTCCAGGGGGAGGAACACATAAACCATTGAAGATTAAGGAATCAGCAACTGATTAAATCATCATATGATCATCTAACGCTAATATACCAGATTGCTAAAAGTCTTTCTGCATTATTACCAGTTTCTGATTTCTAATGACCCTCCACAAAACACTACACTTTTGCAATAAATTCTAGGTGAGTTGGTTCATTACACTTCAATGAAAATAACCTGTGAAGCATCCATTGAAATTAAGAGGCACATGATCATGATCCCATCTATATGTCAAGAAGAGCCTAAAAATAATCATGAAAAGAAAGTCAATAAGACCACTAAAGTTTTATGTCATACCCAGGCACAATTGGGTATTTTGTGAAACCCCAATCATTCTTCACGCTGTGTAGATCAGAGTGACAAACACCACAATAGTGTATCTTGATTGTTACATCATCAGGCCCACTGTCTCTGCAAATTATCAACACTATATATTTCAATCTTCGGTTAAAACAATGAATAACCAATATCAACTCGGTCCAATGAAAATAAGATAGTGAAATTTGTCTTATGCCCGCCATTTTTACATCAAATTTAACTGTGCTTCCCATGTGTAAAGATCTTTGAGTTCGAAAACACATTCTTATCATCACCATCATCACTATTATGCTTGCATAAATACCGTCTGAATACAGTTTAACTGCCAGATATTTCCACATTTTCCCCCATTAACAAATGAGAAATTTGGATTTTGCTCACCATTTTACATCAAAATTGGATTTGCACCTTACTCTTAATATTCCTTAAGAGAACTATAATTGTGTTAGATGGAAATTCAGAGAGTTTAAAAGAATTGCAAATCCAAATAAAACTGGTTGCAAGAACCAATTTTCACGAATATAAAACAAAAATCATTTTAACAAATTTGGGAACATACTCCTCACTTCATTAGCAATGCTACTTGAAAAAAAACACTGTAAGTTCCGAAACTCGTTGATCTAGAAATTCCATATGCTCAAATGAAAAGATGCTAAATTTAACAGGGTAAGGTACTCCGTAGCTTTTTAATAAGTTAGTTACATATAACTCAGAAAACTACAATATTTTTGCCGGAGTTATGACGAATATACAATAACGGTTTCAAACAATATCAAAATGTAATCTCAGAACAAATGAAGTACTGAAGACAGGTAGATCGAGCATACTTCTATATTTCTATAAGCTTAAAAGATGAAGAAATGAAGAAACAGCCTATACTGAGGAGAAGATCGGAGGTTTATACGGAATGGTGTGTATACCTGCGGGAGAAATTGAAAAGAGAGAGAATCCCTGAGGAGTCTCTGGCAGCCCAGCCTAAAGCCCTGTTTGGGTGCTCGTTTTCCGGGAATGCTGCCATCCTTTCTGCGTCGTTGGGATTTCTGTGGAGTCTCCGGCAGCCAGCCAAATTGAGTGGGAAGCCTGATCGTCCCGCCATTTAACAGTGGGCCATGTCTAGAAAAAATGGAGTTTTTTTGTGAAAGAAGAAAAAATGGAATTAAGTACTCCGTATCGTTTTTTAAGGGTCCTGCACTCCCGCTTTGCTTTGCACGCCATTTTTATGCTTTGCACACTCCATTGTTTATTAAGAAAAACGATTTTCATACAAATAAAAAAAAAAATTATGTATTATAGACAATTTAAATTGTTTGTGTTACTGAAGCACTTCTTTTATACACGTCGGTCAAATTGTCTATATCACAAACAATTTAAATTACCTGTGATACACACTATTTTTTTGATTCGTGTGAAAATGAGTTTTCTTCATAAAACGTCGATCAAATTATCTGTGTACAGATATTTTAACTGTCATCTAAAAAGAACATTTTCCTTGTTTTAATGATTATTTTAGAGATGCATACAAATATACAATGATGATTACACTTCAAAACATGTTAGGTAAGTACTGTTTTAATAATGATTATTTTAGCGAAAGTGAAATATTATTTGGATATGTAAATTACGATTTTGAATGTTTTAACAAAGAAAATTTCTAAAATATGAAAACAAATAAAATTAACTAATATGTAACATAAATCGTTGTTGTTTTTAAATAAATTTGTCCATCTTTTCTTTGGTCAAATAACTTTAATTCGTCTACAAAATTAATTATGGTTTTAAATAAGTACTTGATTTTTCACTAATATGAACAAAAAAATCTTGAATACGAGTAACAATAATGTGGTATTTCGAAATAGAATTACTATATTTTCCGTACGTAGGAATATAAATAGTTACTTATTTGCTTAAAAACTGATAATCATGACAATTATATTGTAATATTAATGGCTAACTATGTCAAAAGATGACAAACAACATGATTTCAGAGCGATGATAACTTACTCCTATGTTAATAGTGGAAAATAATATTATACTCTTACATTACAATTTCTTTACTCCTATTTGGAAAAATTCCTAAATTTGAATTATTAATTGGGAAAGTTCCCGAAATGGAACTAAAAAAGTTCGAAAATTCCAAAATAGGACTGTTATGTTTTTATTCTCAAAATAGGACTAATTACTGCCAAATTTGGAAAATACTGCAATGTTTGAAGTCTAGTACTGCCAAAACATGGCAGTAATTAGTTCTATTTTGGGAATAAAAACATGGAAGTCCTATTTTGGAATTTTCAAACTTTTTTAGTCCCATTCTGGGTAATATCCCTTATTAATTAGCAATAAATCACGCAAATAAAATTCAATTTTTTTTTTTCAAAAGTACTCAAACTTGCATTGGAGGTGGCATGACGATTGGAAGCAAAAAAAGGATAACATTTAAAAAAGTAGATATATCAAGACTATGACCGATCAGACCTATTCTATCATATATTCATATCATGTATGATGAATCAAAACCTTTTGAGCTTTAATATTTCAAACAAATGTAAAGTTAAAAATGCCATTATATTTTAGGAAGTTATAATTAATTATTAATATCAAAATACACGTGAACGCTTCAATTTACAATATTGATATCATTTGCACTTTAATTACATTTACAGACACTCATAATCTTAATTTTTATTTTATAATTTAAAATACACATTTTGATTTGTTTGTAAGAAGAGATTAAGGATGAAAATTACACAAAATAGAACAGTACGTAGAAGAGAAATAATATAAAAGAATGACGATAGAGAGACTGTTGGTACTTGGGGGTGATACCTAAGAATTCATAATAAAGTAGAGTGTTGTTTGCAAAAAAAAAGTAGAGTGTGAATTTGTTCATGTATTTATGAGGAAAAATATTTTATACTTATAAGTACATTCAGTGCAAAATAGGAGGGAAAACATTTACTGATGTTAAAACATATTAATGTTCATGTTAACAATCATGATATACCTATGAGAATGAAAAAACTATCTGATAGAGTATATGGGCCTGGACCCCATGGCCCACATACTCAAGTCAACGATGACCAGAAGAACACCCACGTGGCCCCCTTCGGCCAGTGGGTCCGCATCGGCCAAAAACCGAACCGGTCCAGGAAGCACGCCTGGACTCCCGGGGCCCGCATCGGCCCATGGATGCATCGGCCATGAGGCCGCATCGGCCAAAGGCACCGCATCGGCCAGAGTTCACCCTAGCAGAATGCATCTCTCTACTTTATTTACTAAGTTTTGTACTCAGCCCATTAGTGGCCCTATTTCGCCCAAAGAAGGCATGATTATTGTAATGGGCCTCCTAAGCCCATGGCTAGGAGCCCAAACCCACATTTTTACCTATAAATAGACCCCTTGGGGCTAGTTATAGGGGGTTGAGAAATACAATTACTCACTTTCTCTCTCTAGCTCTCACTTCTCTCTAGAATTAATACTCTATCATTTGGTGCTTTCATTGAGAGCCTAGAACAGATCAAGTGAGTACCCTTCGTCGCTACCAGACACTACCGCTAGCTATGACAAGAACTAGGTCAAAGAACACCGGTAGGAATGCCCCACTGAACCAGGAAGGGCAGGGAAACGTTGCTGACAACGTCCCCAACGATCCTATCATCCAGGACGAGGACGCTCAGGAGGTCGGGCACGCAGCGGCCGACCTTCGCGTCCAGCTCAATTGGACTGCTCTGGATGCTCGCATCGGACTCGAAGACAGACGCAATGCTGATCGCACTTCGGGGCAGCAGGCTTCTCACCCTGCTGCTCCCCAGATCAACCCGGCCGCATTATCGGCCATCGTTGCAAGCATCCTCCAGGACCCCAACATGGTCAGCGCTCTAGTCGCAAAGACCAGGGAAAACAACACTCCTGTTACTGGAGAGGTCGCGACGGTGCCGCCACCGCCACCTCGTCCACCGGGCGTCACCATCTTCGGCGACAATGAGGACGTCCTCGCCGTGGACACCCATTCCCATACTGCCTCGCCTACCCGGGATACACCGGCCCAACCTCGCGGTAAAATCTCAGCCCTCAACAGGCTGGGTGACATTGCGAGCCGTCGGGTACCTACGGGAAGGGTGGCGGATCGGTTGGGCGGGCCGCGAGCCGGGATCACCAAAAGAAAGCTTCGGGTCCGTTTCCCGGACAACGGACCGGCCCCGACCAGACAAAGGAAAAGGAAAGCTGAATGATGACGATGCGCGCCACCAAATCAACCTGGCCCACGCGGCCCGGATCCAGATCCCTGTGGGTGGCGCTGCTGCCAACACGGACCCAAGGGATGAGATCATCGCCCGCTTGGAGAAGCGCCTCGCGGATATAGAGGCCCGAGAAGCCGCAGGGCGCGCAGCGGCCCATACATCCCAGCACCCCAACTACGACACGCTCCTGAACAAGGTCAGCGCTCTGGAGAGAGAGTTGGCCGACCGGCGCGACGAGCCCGTCATCCAGATACGGACCAGGACCCCCTTCTCTGTGAGGGTGCTCTCCGCTCCCATCCCAGAGAAATACAAGGGGAATCCAATCAAGCCATATGACGGCCGAACTGATCCCCAGGAGCACTTCACCCGCTATCAGAACACTATGATGATGACCAACGCTTCGGAGGAGTACATGTGTCGCTGGTTCCTCTCCACCTTGGAGGGACCAGCGTACGATTGGTTCAACAACCTTCCGGAGGGGAGCATCGACTCATGGCAGGACCTTGCTCAACGCTTCCTCACTCACTTTGCCGGGAGGAAACGTGCGAAGAAGCATTTCGCTCATCTCTTGACCATCAAACAACAACCGGAGGAGACGCTCCGAGCCTTCCTCGATCGCTGGACGAGGGAGGCAGACGAGTGCGAGGGAGCCGATGAGCGCACCCTCCTGGCCTTCCTCCGCGGAGCACTTCGGCCGAGCCACTTCGCCCGAAGCCTGTTCACAGAGCCCCCGCGGTCATACCTCGCGGCGCTCCGACGCGGAGATAGGCACGCTGATGCCGACGAGCTCCTGAGCCAGAAGAAGGGTGGGGAGAAGCAACAGAAGAAGGACTCCTCGTCCAACCCCCACCATGCGCCAGCCAACAAGGGACTGAACCAGCAGAAGAAGGCACACCAGGAGCCAGGCGGACAGCGAAGAGAGGATCGTTCATGCATGGCGTCCAAAGTTGGAGGCACAACGCATCCCCCTCACCCACCCGGTGAGCGTCGTCCTTGACCACGCTGAGGCGTAGGGCCTCATTGTGAAGGACCCCAGGTCAGAGGAGGAGATATTTGCGGTCCACAGAGGAGGGACATACTGCAAGTACCACCGCCAGACATCCCACAAGACCGAGGATTGCACCACCCTGAAGAGGCACATCGACGGCCTCGTCCGACAGGGGGAACTTTCCCAATTTGTCAAGGGTGCCCCCAAGAGTAACACTTGGGTCAACCCTGGCAAAAGGGGGGAAGGATCCTCCGGGAAAAAGAGGGAGATCGGCGCCCTCAGTGAAGATGAGGACGAAGAAGAGCCCCGCCAGAAGAAGCATCACATTCACATCATCGTCGGCGGGAACACGGGGGGGGGGGGGGGGACTCGGCTACCCAACGGAAAAAATGGGCTCAGTCCCTATACGTTGGTGAGGTGTCCCACGCCCCCCCTCACCCGAAGCGACGGCACGTGGAGGCCATCACCTTCACCGACAAGGACCTCCCCTTCGGCCCCTTGCCCCACAGAGACGCCCTCGTCGTCAAATGCGAGATTGGCAACAACATCATCCACCGTAACTACATCGACATCGGCAGTTCCGTCAACGTGATGTATGTTGATACATTCAGGCAGCTGAAGCTGAAGAAGACCGAGCTCCGGCCGATACGGACTCCGTTATCCGGCTTCACCAGGGACTCTATCGATGCTGAGGGCACGATAGTGCTTCCTGTAGTGGTCGGTGACGGTACCTATCAGGCGAAGATTGATATGGAGTTCGTGGTCGTCGATCTGGACATCGCCCACAACATGATCTGGGGCCGACCGGCCTTGGAGGACCTTGAGGCCATCATCTCCATGAAACATCTATGCCTCAAGTTTCCCACCAAGGACGGCGTCGGCTATGCCAGAGGAAATCAGAAGATAGCCAGGGCTTGCTACCTCAAGCTCACCAGGAAGATCAATGAGGCCGAGGAG